TAAGAAAGAAAATTTTCAACAGATGCATTGAAAAAGGCAACTGTTGCTTTTCTTGCAAAATCAACAAATGCATTGAAAAAAGCAAAAAAGGCAACTGTTGCTTTTCTTGCAAAATCTTGAATTTGTTTTATACAAAAATGCTTTAAATTGTGCGTTTTACGATTATTAGCTATTATTAAGTTTTCAATTTTTTCTGCTTTTATTTGTCAATAAAATATAACATTTCTGAGCTTTTTGCTCTTCAATAATAATTACTTCCTGGTTTAAAATAGACTTAAAATTTAGTGTTGAATTCAACGTTCACTAATTGAGTAAATGCTTAAGCTAAATATTGGTTGTTCGTTATTTTACACATTGAGTTTTTTTTTACACGTTGAGATTTTTTGAAGCTGGCAGCTATGCAAATATATAAAATAACATTTTAATTGTACCCTCAGGATAACTTTTAAATGAAAGTTAATTGTCCCCCGATTAGTAAAGCCATTCAGCACTTTAAATTTTAAGTAATATATGATCTGAAATCTTAGATGTAATGACTATATACGCTATATATTACATAGCTACGTGAGTGAAAGATAATGTCAGGATCCTGATTCCTCTCCCACGCATTTGATTGACCCCTTGACCTGAGGGTCAGAGGGTGAAGGACACTGGAGGCGTCCCCTACATTGGGGGTGGAGCGAATGACTTTTTCGGATGAGAAAGAATTTTTGGAGAAGAGATTAGCTTTGAACGCAGAAGAGTTGAGTTTCGAGTTGAACTATGCNTTTTTTACACGTTGAGATTTTTTGAAGCTGGCAGCTATGCAAATATATAAAATAACATTTTAATTGTACCCTCAGGAAAACTTTTAAATGAAAATTAATTGTCCCCCGATTAGTATAGCCATTCAGCACTTTAAATTTTAAGTAATATATGATCTCAAATCTTAGATGTAATGACTATACACGCTATATATTACATAGCTACGTGAGTGAAAGATAATGTAAAATGTTATACAGGTTGTATTATTCATTTACTCTTGGGGACTCGTAGAAAGGAGATTGAAAGCCCTAGAACAATTTATATAAAATTAAAACACCTATATATTAATATTTATAATATAAGTCTATTTCTAGGGCAGAGTGAATGTTTAAAAGCGTTACTAATATGAAGGAATAAAAAATAGTGTCATACATTATTTTAAATGTAATTGGATTATACCAATATTTGGAATGATGACTTAAACGAAATATGAATGGTGTAAAAATATTAAAGTGAATAAGATAAGTAACAGGGAATTATACCTCTGTTTTATACACGCAGAATGGAGAGAAAAAAAGGTGATGAGTGTCAATGCGTAATAAACTTTGGGCGAACCCTTTAAATATTGAGTTTTGCCAAAAAATGTTACTCCGAAATACATTGGCCCTTAGCCACAGTCACTTACTTCCCTTTCTCCAACTCAGTTTCTTCAATTCGAGTTGACATCTAGCGTTGAAACGGCCTTAAGTATATGGATACTTTTAACCCTAACGAAAAATCTAATTTATTCGGATGTTAAAGGCCTGTTTACACGGTTCAAGTTCTTGAATCCGAGAAATTGGAAGAATTTCTCTGTCCAAGAGGTTGGATGATTCGTTGATACTATCCAAGTTCTTGAATGTCACTGATTGGTCGGATTAAAAACCTGCGCTGCGCTTAGCTCATGTTTTGACTTTTTTTTTACGAGTTAACAAGAAAAGCTTTTGAAGCCGTTGAAGTCGCTAGTACTAATAATATAAAATTATAATATTACTTATATTTATTGTATAGAATGAGTGACGAGACAATTGCAGTTTCCGATACAATTCTGGCTATTGTAGCGGCTTCAACTACGAGAAAAAAAAAGATCAAAATGGTCTAGAGCAGTGTTTCCCAACCTTTTTTGTACCATGCCCCACCTAAGTCTTTCTAAAATTCTTATGCCCCCCCCCCCNAAAATCGAATTGTTCACTTAAGAAACTTAGGAAATTGTTAGCGAAACAAAGTAAGTAAATTTTCAGAACATAGAATGAAAAACTAAAATTCAAATTCGAAATAATTTTAATAAAGATTTTTCTATAATAATTTAATATTTTAATTTAGTGAGATTCTTGCCCTTGATGCTTGCTGCACGTAGATTTTATCTTAGGTTCCAATTTGGTTAGCTTCAGTCTCTAGTCTTATTTAATATATTCAGTTTTTCAAAGATATTGGCTAAATAACTCACAAATACTTTACCATCGACTGTAAACAGATAGTTCATTTCAGGTTTGTCCCTTAAAAAATTCCTAAGTCACATAATATTTATTGACCGCAATTATTTAAGAATTCGCTTTTTTCTTTCGATTTTGTCACCGAAATCTTGCATTGCATTTAAATGGCCCAGAGCAAAAGGTTTAAACTCATGTCTAGTCCATTTTTGAATTGCCCCCCTTTACAATCAAATTGCCCTCCGGTGGGGCGTGCGCCCCACGTTGGGAAACACTGGTCTAGAGAGTGGTTGTTACGTCGTAACGAAATGGTTGCATATCCTTCTTTGATGGCTAGACTAAAATGAGAAGATCCGGGAGCCTTCAGAAATTTTGTCCGGATGGATGAAGAGAGTTTTCCTTTCTTGTTTTCTCTAAACCGAACACTGTCATAAGATAGTATTTCTGTTGCTGAGAGATTAGCCGTGACGCTTCGATATTTAGCATCAGGCAAGTATCGACAGAATTTTTTTTTTATTAAATTGCGCACCAACTTGATTAATCCAAAAAAATTATTCTGAATTCTATTGAAATTAAAATAGTGTATATTGTGTAGATTATTCAACTATTTTAAAGCTTTGAGCGCGATAGAGAATATTTCTGATGAGGTATCTACGCCAAGTTTTGGCAATTTCCAGGCTGTGTCCCAAAAACCGCCAAACAAAAAGAAGTACAGTAGAACTCCAATTATCCTAATCGCTTTCAGAATTCCTATGGAAATATAGTAAAAAGGTAAGTTTCTCTTTTTCTTCTTTTTTTATATGAATAAAATAAAATGTTAGTAAAGCCAAGGAAAGATTTATGCAGAGAAAGTTTACAGGATAGGACAAAGATAAATAAGAAGAATAATAAAGGAGGGGGAATCCAGTGACAAAAGAGCACATGGGAGACCGTATGAATAAGGATGTTAGTTGTGGATTGATTGATTGAATGTAGGGTTTAGTGGCACAAGGTCCAAATGAGGACATGCTGCGCCAAACAATACGGTGAAACAGTTCAAACGTATGAGTGAATGCGGAATGTTAATTGCAGCACAATTAAAACTGATAAAACAGTACAAAGTGAATAAAACAAGATAAAAGTATGAATACAGTATAAAACGCGCGAAATACTAAGTAAAATGAGCAAAGGTGATAAGAGTGTATAAAACAGTAGATGTGTTAAAACTTTTATATGCAGTTAAAAATACCAACGGCACGTAAAAATGCAAAAATGTTCGGATGGTGAATCCCATCCAACAAATCTTGCATGCATAAAATAGAACTTCCAAAAAACTTTAAACGATGTTGATTAAAACATGAACACGTTATTAAAATATGATGAATTGTGAGAGGAACGTTACAAGTACTGCATTCAGGGGGAGGTTCTCCGAATAGTAAATGGAGATGCGTTAACCGGGTGTGACCGATTCGGAGGCGGTTGAGCTTCACATCAGCACTGCGCAAACGCAGCACTGGCAAACTGTCTAAATCAGATTTAATGTTATGCAATTTATTAAAGACTTTGAGGTCCCATTGTTGTTGCCATATTGATGTTACAAATTTTCGGATGTGTA